AAAGGATATAAATCAAAGTCACTCACTTTATTTTCCAGTTTAGAGTCATTGATCATTATCAGTTGGTGGGTGTGGAAACAACTTAATAAAGTTTGGGTAATTTAGTTTCAGTTTAAATTCTCAACTGGCAATTGGCCGAAAACTCCCCATCAGAAGACGTGAGCATCCAAATGTCATTTTGTGATTTGGCTACTGTCTGCTTGAATAGGAAGGCCCTATCAAGAAAAACTAATGGAGTGATTAACTATCAAAAGAAAATCAATGGTAAGAGTTTTCATTTAAATTATGTGTGAGTGGGTGTGCATGCATGTGCGCGCACGCGTGCGTGTATGTGTGTGTAAAGCATACCATTTATTATTTGAATTAAAATTTTAGAGCTTTAAAAATCTAGGACATAATGCGAAATATTTGAATTTTGAACTTATATGTCTGTGACTTACATTTGTAATAAAATAAATGCAAAGAATGGTTTTTATAGAGATTTTATATTCTTAGTGTTGATAAGATACTAATTAAAAATGTCAAAAATAAGTTATGTAATTCATAATTGTGTAACAAATTCAGGGTTTTTTTTGGTAGAGAACCAGTTCTCTTTAAAAAAAACAGCATTTTACAAATATTGCTTGAGTGAAGTTTAACTTTTTTAAAAAACAAATTTATACAAAACTGAATTTGTTAGTTTCATAGATGCTTCTTACTAAAGCAAATGTCATAAACTGCAATAAAATAGTCTATTGATCTCTGTTTTGTTTTTTACTCTCATTATAAAATGATGGGTGGGGAGAAGGGAAATACATAATTAAATCCACTTAGTTTAGCATTAGGATTTTAAAATTGTATCATTGCTACTACATCTCTGTGGGAAATACTAACATATCAGGAATAGATGTTAAAATGAAGTGAAGTACCTGTTCATATTATAATACAGTATCAAATTTTGGTGAAAAAATCGACATCTCACCCCTGCCGTAATACACATTTACATTGAGAAAATAATTTAAGTTTGGTTACATTTTTATATGCTTCAGGTGGCCTTAAATGTAATGTTTTTATTCTCTTTGTATTTACTTCTTAGATTATCCCTTTATTTGGACATCTGTGCCCTCTCAGATTCGTGGTTAGTTATGTTAACTTTGGACAGAAGTGAAAGTAGTAGCTTATAGAGGTTGAAATTAAAAAATTCTGTTTATCAGAGCTTATTTTAGTATCTCATGGCCATAGTAGCTTTGTGATAACTGGATAATGGGTGTTGAAGCTCAGATATTAATAATATATTGTGATTTTTGTTGTCAGACTTACAGTTTTTGAGATTGACATAGTTTGAGTAATTTGTCTTGCTCAGTTAGAGATGTCAAAATGATCATAACTGAATGTGACTGTGTTTTTAACTATTTCCTAGAGCTTAATAATGAACATATCAGGAATAGCATATGTGGCAAGCGCGTAACACAGCATCTGTCATTATGTAAGCATTCAGATGTTGACAGTGAACTAAGATGGCAACATCTGTCCTTCAATCCATCTACCTAGTAATTCCAGTTTTTAGAGATTATCTGTTATATGCCATCCGTTCAGCTAGGTGCTAAGGATACAATGTCACAGTTAAAAACAGATTCTTTTTTTAACTGCTCTTGAACTTCCGTGTAGAATAGTATTTATGGTGTAGAAATTATTCAGACAAATGTAAAATTGCAACTGGAACCAATACTATGGAAAGGCAAAAGTCACTATGAGAGTAGAAGCAACCCACACAGAACCCATACATTACTTTTTAAAGTGAATTGATAACTTGTTTTAACTTTTAAAGTTTGTAATTCTATTTAAATGGGTATCTTCTAAGCAAGGTGTGCAGAAAGATTAAATTGGTTAACTGTGGAGAAATACATTTTTTATGCTGCTAGTCTATTTTCTTAGGTTTCTAAAAAAAGAATTTACAACAAAGTAACATCAAGAATTTAGTCAAAGTAGCATTCTTATGTGAGAATTTCACTTAGAGGAGAGAATTCTTAGGGGGTGCTTAAACATTTCAGGAGTGAATACAGTGAATGAGGACTCTGATTCCTTCAGCTGAATTTAAGTTAAAGGATGTCAACCATAAAATAACTACTCTCCTTTCTTAGCAACTGTTCCATTCTGTTATCTAGTACAAGGATTTATTTATCACTCATTTATGTCATTGAGTTGTTACATGTAGACATTTCTTAATGGCAGTATGATTTTGTTAATCAACTTTTATCCCTTTTTGAAAGAAAAGAATATAAAATTTGTTTCTTTTATAAATTTATTCTAACACATATGCATTAAATTTTTGAAAATAAAATGGAAGAGTATTTGGATGCCTAATAAATGTTTACAGTTTTTCTATGGGACGCAGAATCTCATCTAAGGCAAAGACACAAGTGATGTTTGAAGAATTATGAAATTAGTTTTTTAATGTTAGATGTGTCAATATTTTTATTTTTTAAAATGTTTAATTTATTTTAAGAGTGAGAGAGAGCATGTGTGAGCAGGGGGAGGGGAGGGACAGAGAGAGAGGTGAGAGAATCCCAAGCAGGCTCTGTGCTGTTGAGCAGGGAGCCCCACATGGGACTCCATCTAACAAAGGACCATGAGACCATGACCTGAGCTGAGATCAAGTCATACACTTAACCAGCTGAGCCATTCAGGTGCCCCATCTGTCAACATGTTTAGAAACTCTCATTGAAGACCAGCTTTTCTTTATTCATCTGATAGTATAAACAGATTGAATTAGAGCATGCAGTCTCGTATGCAATGAAAATTCAAGAAGTTTAGTTTTACAGTGGAAATGATCTTTGCCTATTTTACTAAAATATGTAAGCTATTTAAAATATTTAGTAAATGTCTTTATCAAGTAGCAGAATCAAAATTAATTCCGTTAACTTTTTATTTAAATTTATTGTGTTGAATTTCATCCGTGCAGTAATGTCTAAATTACTCAAAAGAAGGTCACCAACCTCAGTATTCTGATTTGAAGTTCCTAGCTCTAATACCTAGGTAATTCTACTTAACAGTGCTGGAAGAAAGGAGTCCTTTCCATACCTCCCAAGAGTGTCTGGAGGGAATTTTTCCTTTCCGGGTAACATACCTAACAGTTCCCATTACATTACATTTTTCTGACAGCTCTTTTTGCCTCTGTGCAGTTAGCTTTGATTGGTCTATGATGTCAGCTGGAGAATTGGGCAGTTAGCCATATAAAGATGCTTTAAAAACAGATGTGTGTATATCACAGATGGAAGATGATACATTTAATTTACTGAAATCAATAAAAAAATAGCCCTTTTTCTAAGCAAACAAAGGTCTACCAGTAGTTATCAGTTTTTAATTTTTTTAACAAACAATCCAGTATCTGATTGGGTGTGTATGTTGTAATATAATGACTTCTGTTTGGAATTTTGGAGCTACTACTGTCAGAAGAAATGGTGATTAACAATGGTATTGAATTGGAAGTTTGAGAATGGAATATTTTAATGAAAGTTATTGTTCATAGTTGTGAGAAGGAAAAGAACATTTTTCAAATCATTATGTAAGGAAAAATCTTTTAAATGTGGAAAATAAAATGGAGTGCCTTCTAGAATTCATTCTTTTGAGTCTATGACAGAAATTTATAAAGAAAGAATTCTTGCTAAGATTTATAAGGATTATTTGGAGAAAATCTGTGGCACATCTTAAAAAGTAATATAGTCATACAAGTATATAAAATATTACATGAAATAGCTATCAATAGCAATATTAAGGTGCTATTTATTGTGAGATCTTTACTAAATGAACTTAAGAGATAAAAGACCCAATCCAATCCATTCATTCTATAAATTCTTACTGGAAAATTGCTTTATGTCAGGCATGGCATTAGGCATTGGAGATATAATCATGAATAAGATAGATGTGGCCCTCTAGTTTATACTCTGTCAGGGAAGATAGACATTAATTAAATAACTACAGTAAAGGTTAGTGGCTTGTGACTTTATAAAAACAGAGCTGTTCTTTCTTTTTTTAAAAAAATTTTTTTTAATGTTTTATTTATTTCTAGGAGAGAGAGAGAGACAGCGTGAGCAGGGGAGGGTCAGAGAGAGAGGGAGTCACAGACTGAAACAGGCTCCAGGCTCTGAGCTGGCAGTCAGCACAGAGCCCGACGTGGGGCTCGAACCCACGAACCGCGAGATCGAGACCTAAGCGAAAGTCGGACGCTTAACCGACTAAGCCACCCAGGCGCCCCAGAGCTGTTCTTTCTTAAAGATACCTTGAGAATTGATCTCTAGTATGCTAATCATTTAATCAGTTTACTTTCTTCATGAAATAAAGTTATTCATTTTGACTTAAAACTTGAATAAAAATTCTTTGGGAATCAGTCTTAGAAATTGGTAGAGACTGAAATAGTCTTGGTTTTTATGTAGCTTATTTAAAACAAGAAACTACTATGGAAAGATCTTCAAGTTTCTAAGTACCAAGAAAAGTGAATATAAGCAGAATAAACTCATAATGCCTCATGTATGTTATACACTACAGTTCATTTAATAACATTATTAAAGCAGTTTTACATGAAAAGTGTCAAAGTTATAGTGGTTAAGAAGCTACACCCTAGAGTTGGACTGGTTGGATTTGAATATTAACTCTGGCATTTATAAGCTTTGCGATTTAAGGAAAGCTGTGTAACTCCTCTGATCTTTAGTTTCCTCATCTGTAAACTGGGGACAATAAGAGTACATACTTTCTAGAAAAATTAGTTGTTTGATGTGTATAAAATGCCTAGAACAGTGTCTGGCACGTAGGATGTGCTTAAAGGCTCCATGTTGCAGTTAACAACAATAATAACAGTAATGAAATAATTTCCTCGTGTCAAAATGTCCTGCCTAATTCACAAAGTTGGGCCAACACTCTGAAGTAATTTCAGAATGTTGGCTTAAATATATATATATAGGTATTACACTACAAAGAACTGTTAGCTTTATTACTGCTAAACAAAATGTCAGTGAGAGTCTCACCCAGGTCTTGGGCCCTCTTTAGTAAGCACCAATAGAGCAGTCACTCAAAGGCCTCCATAAATTGCCATCTCCAGGACCATCGTTGTCTCAGGATTTAATCCCCAGGCATCATGGAACTGATCTTTCTTGTCTAAGAAAAGAAGTAGCAAAAATCTTATTTATCCCCTAGGGGATGAGCTGAAACAAGGGGAGAGTCAGTTTGAGAAGGAAATGACTATGTTGATAATAAGTATTTTTTCCTTGCAGATATCTAAAGAAATGATTTTTTTCCTCTAATAGGTCTACAAAATATTTGTGACATTTATAACTCTAATTATATGTAGCATTACTTGTTACTTTACTTACATCAGAGAACAAATTTTCTTTCATAAAATAATCATATAATACATTACTACTCCTATATGTAATTATTTGTAAAAAAATATATATTTTTGTGTCGACTTTCACTCTGTCTTTTAGTTTGATATCCTAGAAAAATGTAAGAGTTAAATAATTTTTGCTAAGTGATTCTTGTTGGAAAATGATTTCAGGGTGAAATTTAATATGACGTTTCCTTTGAGCTATGATTCTGATTTAAGTCTACATACATAAAAAGAGAATTTGTGGATTGATTCAATTATTATAAGTGCAAGCAAGTACTCTAATGAATTGTTTTCAGATTAAATATTTGAATTAAATGTCAAGATTTCATAACCTAGTTGTTTTTGTTTGTAATATGGAAATATTTTTCATTATTAAGATGCTAAGTGAGAGAAAATTCTTTGAATGCTGTAAGTGTGGTTGCCCATGACCGTAATTAGTTTAAATAGGATCATTCACGAAGTGTCTGTTGAACTTACTAGCTATCTACCACTTGCCGGTTATAGTGTTATGGTATCAAAAGAATTATGCCATCACTCTGTTTAGGCCCTTGGAAGACTAGGGCTGTGGAAAGAATACTTAGACATGAAGCAGGAAATCTGAGACCTTTTTCCTGTTCTGCCACATATATCTTAAATAAAAGAACCTATTAAAATTATGAGGCCACTTAGTGTCCAGTCTTTTTGCTAAATATAGGTCATGTGTGCATATGCCTGTATATATGTACATGTATATATATATATATCCATCCCAAATCATCGCACCAAATTGAAATGAAGAGCTAAGAATTCATTAAGCTTTTCAGTGTCCAAATGTAATCAAGTAAAAAATTCTGTTCTGCGAAATATTTTGCATGATTCCTTCAAGTGGAAATACATTATTGATTTTTACGTATACTTTTTAGGATTTCTCAAATATTCTCATATAAATTATATACTGTTCCAGAAATTCACAAGGGGAATATAAAATTTCTATAGAATTTCAAACTGATTTCCTTGTAAGTGATTAATTTTTCTAATAAAAATTTTCAGTCGATACCAAATTATTTTTTTATACCGCTGACTCACTTTTTATTTAAAAAATAGTTTTAAATAGCTACAGCAATTAGTACCAACTCTACCATTTGCCAACATTATTAAAGCATGTCTAGTTCTGTAGCATCATGAGTTCTCAGGTTAATTTTACTAATTCATTAAAAATTAGACTAATGCATTTTAAGAGAAAAGAAAGTATAATTCACGTGTACACATACAAACTTGTTTGCTTTGCTAAAGAATCTCATGGACTCACGTAAACATCATTCACTCCCACTAAAGAGGAGAGGACTGGTTGGGAGTTGCTGATTGGGGCACCATGAAATTATTTATCTCTGCATTTAGTGTTGCATAGGTCTGTGTCCCGACTGGTATTGAGTCAGGTGAGTGTTGGGTAAAAAATGCCATAAGTATATATACACGCATGCACACACACTAACCATAAGAAGTTGTTTGGTATATTTATTGAACTACTAGGTACTACTGTAGTCATAATTAGAATAATTTTTCATATAAAAAATCAAAGAATTAAAATTGAAGCCATTTAAAACTTAAAAGAAAATTTATCATTAAATTAAACATGACAGATGCAAAAATAAAAAGAAAGAAAATTTAAGAACACCTACATTGTGAGCTACTTCATTTTAAATGTTAAAATGTTACAAGGGTATTGAATGCAAACATTGTTTGGACAAGAATAACATTTAAAAGTTACTTGGAGGAGAAGCACCCAGGTAGCTTAGTTGGTTAAGTGTGTGACTTCAGCTCGAGTCATGATCTCACTGTTCGTGAGTCTGAGCCCTGCGTCAAGCTCTGTGCTGGCATCTCGGAGCCTAAAGCCTGCTTCAGGTACTGTGTCTCCCTCTCTCTCTCTGTCCCACCTGCTTGTGCTCGCTCGCTGTCTCTCAAAAATAAATAAACATAAAATTAAAAAATAAGTTATTTGGAGGAAATATTAAAGCAATCATATGAAAGAAGACAAATTTATAAGAAAACAAAATTAACAGAAAAGACTTTTTTGAAGAATTTGCTTAATTGTGGTGTCATGTGGAAAAAAGTTTATATGTCATTATGCAATCATTAAAAATGAAGTCAAGAACCAGCAAATAATAATTACCCAATTACTTTGAAAATAAAGTGACAAGTCATGGTCACATCTTAAACTGTAGAATTCTTTCTGTAAAGGGAGATTAAGTGCTGACAGCTGTCCCCTGATGGCCGTGCTCATGGTAGCATGCAGAAGGGGTGTATGCAAGGCTTCCAGGGTGAAATGTATTTTTGCCACATTTTACCCAGTAGAAATTCATTTACATTTTTAAGAGAAGCATATAAATCCAAATAGCCCTGTGAATGTTAAACCTTTATCTGTCATTTACTTGAATACCCGAGTACCTATTTGTTAAATATAACATACTGTGCTTTCACAGTAGCACAGTGAGACTATAACCACGACATCCTGTTACTTAGTGGAGACCAGTCAGTCTCATTTAGAGAAGGAAATATCAAATGGTTACAGAAGGAGTCATTTAAATAGTGGAACAGTTTGTAAAACTGCAGACTCAACTATCATGTGCCATTAAAATAAGAAGGCACCAGCTTGAGTTTATTGAGATATGAAAGAGGTAAGATACCAAAATAAAATAATTTGCCTTGCATTGATTCAGTGTCCCCTATACACTATAAATCTTTTGTTTGTTTGGGGGGCACAAATTATTTTACTTTCCTGAAATTTTGTTTCCAAAAGTATTGTTGAGCTAGAATTAAAAAGGTTTTTTTTCTGTACAGATATTTATATATGCAGTAACAAGATGAACAAGTCTAATTGATTTTAATTGGTTTTTTGAGTATAGTTGATATGTAATGTTACATTAGTTTCAAGTGTACAATATACCAATTCCACAAGTGTATATACTATGTTATGCTCACCTCAAGTGTAGCTACCCTCTGTCAGTATGCAACACTGTTGCAATACCGTCTACATATTTTTTAAGAAAAAAATTTTAATGACTCAATTAATTGCCTAGAAAATGACCCATTTGGAGACCGGAATGCTCATATTAGCTAAGGCAAACCCTTCCTGGTTGTCAGGTACCCAGGAAAACAAATTCAGTGAGTCAGAATTCAATCTTGTTTGAGTGCCTATTATGTTTAACAGTGGATTTTGTTTTCATTATATGTTATTTTATTGAATCTCTCAAAAGTTCTATCAGAAATATGCTATTCTGTCTCTCTTAGTGATGAGGAAACTGAGGTTCAGAGAGGCTGACTGACTTTCCCAAGGTTGCACAGCTAGTGTTCAAAGTGGTTTGTAGGCCAAGTAAGGCAAAGTCTAGAAAGCATTCATTGCATGTGATAGTTAGAAGACCATTTGATGTTTCAGTGGAGAGATGGGAAAGGCTGACTACATTGGTTTAAAGGTGGGTGAAGACCTAGAAAATTATTAAGACAGGTATGGGCAACATTTTGGAGAAATCTGGATGAGAGAGGAAGTAGAGAGGGCTAAGTTGGGATGAAAAGGAAAGGCAGAAGGTTTGGAAGACACAGTGGTGGGAGGCGAGGAGGGTTGCGGGAGGGAAAATGGGGAGAATTAATTTAAAAATGAATCTTTTAAAATGTGGGCACATCTGTTGCAAGACAGGCTGTGCTGTCTTTTGCCTCCTTGTTTTGTATAGATTATGAATGTTTGGTATGTGGAAAGGTAGTAAGTAATAGTTCTGTTTTTACTTACACTAGAATATATTTAGCTTCCTCAGTGATGTTTCTGGGGGGCTGGACTTTTAAAACTTGTTGTAAAAATTTTCAAACATACACAAAAGAAGAGATGCTCATGTAATAAATGCCCTCTATCTGTGGCCCAAATTTAACAGTTAACCGAATTTTGCCACATTTGCTTCATCTACTTCCTCTTTTTTCCTTAACTGTTTTAAAGTAGATCCCTTATCTTAAATCTTTTTACTTCTACATTCTTCAGTACACACTTCTTTAAAGATATTTTTCTTATCTAACCAGAATACCTTTCTGACATTAAACAAAATTAATGATAATTATTTATTACCTGATATTATCTCCTTGTTCAGTTTCCTCCACTTGTGATTCAAAATGTCGTATTAGATTTGGGTTGCTGAATGCAAACCAGATCCAGATAGCATGTGATTGGTAGGACTTCTCTATGATTAAAATGCCTTTTCTTCCCTACTATCTGTTTACCTCCCTTGCCCTTTTACCTCCCTCACCCATTTCCTTCTCTCCTTGTCTTCCCCCTTCCTTTCCTGTTCATGGCTTATTAAAGAAACTGAGTAAGCTTTCTCATATAATATCCCCATTCTGGATTTTTCTGTCAGCTTCCCCAGTTAACTTCTCTAACCTCTAAATTGCCTGCAAATTAGCAATTAGCTGAAAATAATTAGATTCAGACTCAGCTTTTATTTTGATGCTGGAGAGAAGGTGGACAGGAATACTTCATACATGGGACTTTTTCTTCACACTGGGTCACATCAGGGATCATGTGGTACCTGTCTGTCATGCTCTTAGTGATGCTGAAATCACTCAGTGGTGACAGCCCATTCTCTCCAATGAGAGGTTTCCATCAACCTCTTCTCTCATTTTTTCATCTCTTGCTAATTGTTTTCTGAATCGATTCTATCATTAGGGTTTGCAAGTTAATGAATTTTTAATCTGCCATCCCTTCTACATTTATTAGTGGAATTTCTTCTATAAAGAAGAAATTTCTTT